TTTCTATATTATTTTTAAGATCTTGTATAATGTTCAAAATTTGACCATAAAGTAAGGGAGCACTTGTTTAATATTTGGATATTATGATGAGTATACTCATTATTAAATTTTCTAATAAGTATTAATAATAATAGTATGACATTCATATATGTTTTATTTGATCGCATACGTTGTTTATGTTTAATCAAAATCTTTTTAATATTTATTTTTTATTTTTTATTTTAATAATAATTTTTGTATCAAAATTAATACATTAGTATTTATCAGTTAATTCACTATTATGTTAGAAATTCCAATATGTACTGTGTTTATATTCACTGTGACCTTTTTACAGTTTATTGACGTGTTTAAAAATAATTAATTTGCATCGTATCGTTTTATAATTTTATTGCGTGACATAGTTCAATTATTTTGGTAAAATATTATTCTCAGCTATAAAGCTATAAAATAAATAAGTAAATCACCCTAAAATTTGAAATAAATATCATGTATGATATCGAGTTTCAGTGTTATACGTTCAAAAAAGGCAAACGTAAAATATTTATGGCTGTTACATTAATTATCTTTATGCATTTTGTTAAATTTAAGATTTCTGGAACAATATTTACAATTAGGTACTATAGTTTAAAAAAAAAATATATAGATACATTTAATTTATATAATTTAATTCTGTCTCCCAATATGTGCTTGGAAAACATGGCAATTACGTTAATAAACATTGGTCATAAATATAACTACTGTAATGGTCATTATCTTATAAAATATTGCTGTATCCTGAAATAATAATTTTTTTATGTGTAACGTTAAACTTTTTGGGCGTATAAAGTTGATATATGCACCCGATAATCACTAATAGACTATTTTAATTCTTCAGCATTTTCAAAAGCAAAATATAGTTTGCAATTAAAGATAGATTATAATTAAATATTTTGTACAAAACATTTTAAGCTAATTATATATTTAAAATGTAATTAAAATTTAAATGGTGTTTTAATTTTTATACACAATTTTGAATAGCTAACATTTAAGCACTTGCACGTATTAGTTTAGTTGAAGTAAGGGTGGTCGACAAAAAAATGATCAGATTTTACTTGATAAAATATTTAATAGCAAAGAATACTAAGGAAAATGAAATAAAAAAATCTACCCTTACTATTGTATCTGTGACATCTAAAACTGATAGCAATTAATCATCTGATAATTAAAAAAAGAAGAAATGTTGTAGAAACAGCACCTAAGTGGAGAACAATATTATAAAGTAAAATGTATTTAGTTTTATTCCAAATAATGTAACCATTATACGTTTGACTAAACGATTTAGTTACATAAAAAAGTATATCCAATTTATAGCAATACCAATATTGTTATAATTGCTTTAGTTAATAATTGTAATACTGTTTATAAACATGAATTCGTATTTGAAAAACGTAATAATTTACTTATTTTTAAGTAATAATTTTTGGTTTAGAAAAGGAGTTTTTAAACATTAAGTCTATATCACTGTTGTACCTTTTAATGTTAACAAATCAAACTGTTATTTATTAGCATTGTTAATTTGAACTTTTTATAATAACGTTTCACCAAGTATAATAAATATTAATTAAGAGAAACATTTATGTTTTCCCATTGTTATAACGTGCTTATGTTTTAGTAAATACATTTACACCCATTAAATAATTTTGAATAAATTCATTATATTAATAATTATGATTATTCAATAATAATAATATTGTATATAATATTATAATTTATAAATATTGCCATATTACGTACCTATATGAAACAGGTAATTTATTACGTACAATTATAAATAAATAAAATATAATATTTAATACGCTCCAGAAGATATAAATGTTTATCACTTTCTTATTGGCTATGGAATAGTTAAGAAGTTATGCAATCTTATTACCATGTTGTTACAAAGAATAATGAAATTAAAATTTTTGTTACAATATTTTTAAAATGTCATAAACTTTAGTTTAGATGATTGTTAAAATATAAATCATTACATTATATACCATAAATACTAGTCACACGTGAGTTCAAAATGTCGCAGTTAGATCTAAAAAATTGTTAGAATGAGTTCAGTGAAAAAAAATAAATTAGTCATGAAAACAATATGCTTCCTATTATGTCGATGCACAGAGGAATAGAAAGAAAGGTATTCGAGTACAATTTACAGCGTCAGTATTTGCCATTGTGTGTCGAGCTTAGAAAATGTGATGGCAGTCGAGTGAGTATAGGAGAGAAAAAGGGAGTGGGAGAAAAATAGATGGACAGATAGGGTAAGAAATAGCGAGTATGCGTGAGAGAGATGGAGAAGAGAAAAAAGGTAAAGATAAAACGAGTGCCGACCTCTTGAACTCCGATCGACACCCGTCACGCCTTTGTCAGACTATAAGAGTCTGTAGTCGTAAGCCCACTTTAGCATGTGCCTTCCAGTGTTATTTTCCGGTCTCCATGATCCCCGAGTGGCAGGCAAACCTATCTGGAAGATGAGGTGAAGGGAAATGTATCACGGACAGATGAGAAAAAGAGTAAGCGAAAAATAGCAGAGTGAAAGAGTAAAAGAATAAAAGGAAGGGGTCAGGGAATTAGAAAGGGAGGAATAAAAATAAAATAATGTCAAGTTTTAATTGAAAAAGTTTAAGCGTTAAGGAATCGTCTCACATTTTCTCAATGTAATAAATATTATAATGAACGCACGTGTCTCTGCAAAGGACAATGAATGCATAAAAGACTCCTGTTAATAGTCGGACTGGATAGATTTTTTTTGGCAATTCTATACATTTATACTATTTAATAGGTAAGTACGCCTGCGGTTTTTAATCTCATTGATGACATTCTGACTGATGTAGTACTGATAAGTTCACTATTGCTGTGCACAATGTTTATGGTTGAACGATTCAATGGGCACAAACATTTGAATTTTCACATTGTTTTGTACGTCTATATTTTTAGATATTTTTAGCTACCTTTTTTTCGATAAATATTGTGCCTATTCGACTTACATAAAGTTCACACCGTTTAAGAATCACTGATTTATTGCTCGAATAGCAGATTATTCCCTTCAGTAAACACTTGGTTTTATGTCATCTGCAAATGACACTATAAACTCCTTTCCTCTTGTCATCTTGCCTTTTCTCAACACAGCTCTGCGCATATACCTACATTATTATGTAAAGTACGCGTGACAAAACAATCTTCGGATACTCTTGGGGGTATTTTATATATAACACGTACTTTCTATATAAGTATTTTTTATCAATACCTCGACAGAAATAAAATTAAATAACGCGAAATATTTTTTCCGTTCGTTTTCAATAAGCACATATTACTATATTATTTTGTTCTTTGTTACCAATTATTACGCTATCGTTTTTTTAAATTTTTTCTCGTCCAGTGCCATTGTACAATTTGCCAATACTGCAGATATAATTGTTAATTTATAAATCATAACATGTTATTTTATTATCACTCATCAGTTATCATAACATTATACTTTTGTAATGGTTGATTAATCATAAAAAACATATTGTTATAATATACTCATTTGATACGAAATTTATATTATTTTTACGTCTGTAATTGGATATTTCTTACTGTAAAACGAATAATGAAACTTTTGAACTTGTTTTATAACATTGATTAAACATTTCCGAATAAATTCAGATGTTCAAATCTACAGAACATAAATCAGTTAAGTTAAATCAATGACTTAAACTGATGTTGGTTTTTAAATTTAAATTTAGCCAAATTCACAATAGTCAATAATACATTTAGGTAATAAAAATATATAACATGTTTCTAAATTATATTAATGATAAATTACCAATAATAACAAGGGTGTACTTTTATAGTAAGGCTGAAGAAATACCACAAAAAAAATAAAGTAATTTTTTTTTAAGATTAATTTAAAATTATTAGGGTTACATAATATTACAATAATAATATAACTACAAGTATTTTATTGCTTCGTATATTTTTTTTACTAAATAAAATATAATCCCCTCTCTTCCTATTTGTGCGTTTCTCCGTTTGTAATAGCTGCCAAGATTTTCATGACGATGATTGATGGGCAGATTTTAAAATATCATAAACCGACGAACATCAAACATGTTGTGGATGGGTGACCCTCCAAGGAAACGTCTCCATATAAAGAAATAACAAGAAGGGAAGTTAAATTGAAATGTATATATCATCCGATTTTACTCTATATATTTTGAAAATATTTCTGTGAAAATATCCGATGGGCGAAATTTTCTTTTTTTTCTTTTACAATTGTGCAATACACAACTCTAAAGGTCATACGAATATAAAAATATTCAAATATTTCAAGAATATAAGCATTTAAATAATTGTATATGTATTCACATATTATTCATCTAAGGATAAAACCTACTATTAAGAACCAAACCAATTCATTGCACCTACAATAATAATTATTATTATTATACGCAAACGGACGGATGTGAATGTGATCAATACATCAAGTGCTCGAGAGCGCTTAGGAACCTAATGACTAATGAGTAATTACAATGTTTTCACCAGAATAGTTCACTACCTAGTCACTACATAATATATACATACATATAATATATATAATATATTATAATAAATTATGAACACGAGACATATTATTATGGAGTTAGTGTTTTGAGACGAATTAAATAATAAATTATCGCCGTGTATACAATAGGTTAACCTGTTATAATAGTCGTCAGTGTATTTGAATAATGCTATTGTTTAGATTACAGTGTCACGCACTCACGCGATTATATCGGATACTATCGTGTTTTACGACCTCTCGGGAAATTAGGTTGAGTAAAAAATTAAAACACGTATGCGATTGCAAAAAAAAAAAATATTTTGCGAGTAAAAATAAACAATTTTAATACAACGATAATGATAATACTGGAAAACGTAATGCTAAACGCATAATTACAACAATAATCACTGGTTTTTTTTTTTATAAATATATATTTTTTGTGTGTTTTCAGGACGCTTACGCTCTGTGGGCGTGCGCCGCGGTCCTGCCCCACTGGACCAGGACGACGGTGAAACAGGGACGCCGCGGCCGTTACAGGGTGAACGCTTGCAGGTCCGTGTGTCTGGAGGCCGAACAAAAGTGTCCGTGGCTGCTTCCGGTGGCCGACGACGCCAACCCGTACGCCGGCGAGGCATCGTTCACTTGCATAGGTAAACAGACGACGGTATAATATCGTTTATCCTCTTTTACCCTCCCCCCTCCAACAACTGTACAGTGCTTTTAAGATATAACCGTTGAAAGTTAGAGTTTAAAGTCGTCAAAATGACGGTACATTAATTCCTGGACCGATGCGGTCTTATTGACATAAATATTATGAATATTTACGCAGACGCAAAAATCGCATACCTTTTCAACTGTTCAAATTATAATATTATGGTTCGTATACAGCTCTTACACGCCCTTCTCCGCGTGTCTTGGAAATGTCGAAAAACAACCATTTAAATAAAACTGATAAAGACAATTTGCTCGGTCTCTAAACAACCACTTATAATACTCAGCCTTTAAGAAAACGTTCATATACTGCACAGGGTGTAACGATTTGATCACCAAAAATAAAACAATTACAATCGGCAATCGTTATCAAATCCTCCATGATATTCCGGATACACACTATATAATATACAGGGCCGGCCTGAAGGCAGTGCATGCTGCGCACAGAGTCCCGTGGTCAGTCGACAGAAATAAACTATGTGGCATCATTTGATATCACCGGGCGATATATATTTTCAATTCAAATACTATAACGACCATTAACCAAATTAATTATTATTAACTATAGTAGGTACAATATCAGTTTTATCATACGAGATGGATTGGATGAAACGAATTATTTTCATATTATTTTCATTCGTCCGGACTCATCGATGGGCATTAAATCACTCGCAGCTGTCGCCGAAGCCCCAAAGTTACGCCTAAACACGCCACTGCAGAATGGGTGCCGAAAAACCATTTTGCATTCGCCCCGTTGTTTTCGCCAAGCCCGTCCTGTGTGTGTATATATATATATATATATAGTGTTTCGATCTACGCCCGCCGGAACTACACCCCTTTTTCGTCTATACTTACCGCACCCCCCTCCCCAACCACCGGCGTAATCGGCCTTTAATTATTTATAATATTGCTAATTGCTGCCGCTGATGATGTATACACGCGGAAAAATCGAACGACGCGTACACCATAACTCGTGTGCGCACGTGTGTAGATCTATGCGGATGAGCGTGTGCTGAGAGAAACGGCGTGACGCCTTCTTTCCTGGCGTTCGCGCCGTCGCCACCGCCACCAGCAGCACCGCCGCGCCGCCGATCGTTGTTGCTAAGGGTCCCTTTCTCTCCGACGAGCGCCAGCTAGTTTGTGCACTGGGTGTGTGCGCGCGTGTGTGTGTGTGTGTGTGTGTGTGTGTGTGTGTGTGTGCGACTGTGCCCCGTACGACGCGGGTGGGCGAGGTGAAAAACTCGGGCACTCCGCCCTCACACGCCGTCCGTCCCCCGTACCGGGTGCGGAGCGGGACAGATACGTCATATATAATATTATACATGCGCGCCCTCGTCTTCTCGTTAGGTTTTCGGGTTACCCTTTTCCCAACTAGAATAATAATAATAATAATAATAATAATATATATTATAGCATAACGTATCATAATAATAATATGTTATTATTACTATAATATGACTATTACTATTATTGTACCCGTCTCGGGTACGGCCGTCGGCGGACGTGCGAGCTGCACTAGTACCGTTGGCATTGTAGTGCGTTTTAATTCGGAAACGTCGCAGTCGCGGTTCGAATTATCATTAGGTATTATGATTATGATTATTATTATTATTATATATAGTTGGCCATCACTTTTTCGCTTTCCTCTTCCGGTTTGTCATTTCCGTACATTATTGTTATTGTCGCTGTACAAGAACCGCCTGTACGGCTACTATTTATATAAATATCTCATCTGAACGGTTTTAATAAGCACGTACGGAAATATTGTTGTTGTTGTTATCGTTATTGCAGTTCTAACGGTCCGAGTACGCGTGTTAAACAATATATAATAATATCTACTAATGCTGCAGGATTCATAGTTGGCAACCGTAACCTTTATTTCACCGATACAACGATGCCAAACAGTATTGTCTCCGTACGTTTTATCTACGACTAGCCCTTTGAATCGAGTTAATTATTGTTATTTTATCGCTCACAGACATTTTAAAATACATTTAAAATTCACAAACCTGGTAAATGCTTGAATTTTTGTAGTTGTTGTTTCCAATGAAATAATTATTTTTTACCAAAGTTAATATTTCTTATTGAAAAAGCAATGAAGCAGTGCTCTAGCCTCGCGGGTGCACTAAGTGCTCGAATCAATTATAATATCTGATATTAATTCTGAATATACGTGTTAATAAAATAATATTATGTTGAATAAATTTGTTTACATAAATCGTAATAATTATGATAAGTATAAATTAGCAATAAACGCAGGAAAATTCTAAATAGATACATTTAAATAATTATTTATTTTTCTAGAAATGTATGCGATTCAAATTGCATAGTGTTTAATTTTGCATTAACCCCGAACCCCGGTCCACCTATCTTCAGTCGTACCTACCTCATTTTAGATGAACATTTTTTTTTTCGTGGTAGTTGTAAAGTGGTTAACAATGCGGAGTCGGGTGTCTTGTGGTCAGTCGTTTGGACTCGAACCGCTTAAAAGCAAACTTGTGGCAAAAAATGCAATCTGCCAGTGGCGGATTGTATACAGTTTCATAATATTATGCATATTGTACGACGCGCAGCGTGTATGGCATTTTTTTATTTGTAAATTAAAATGTAGAGAGACATATAAATATAATATCTCATAGCAACTATATTTTTATAAATTTGATAAAATAGAATATTAAAACTATTACAAAAGCTTTGAATTCGTTAAGAATTACAATTTGGTTGTTATATTATATTGTGTACTAATACTGTATACCTACAAATCGTTTACAATATCCATTTTTTTTATTTTAATAAAATGATTGATTTAAATAAACGCAAACGGTTGACCATTACTAAGGAATGTCATAATGATTCGCTTCATTAAATGTGTAAAGTCTACACGAAGCGTTTTTTTTTTTTTTTGAATATAACGTTTTGTACAAAAAAAAAAAAAAATGTTGCAAACAAAAAGAGAAAAAAGTCTTACAAATACGTGTTTTCCACTATTCTTTGTTTCGTCCGATTACGAAAGGCTTTTTGTGTCAGTCACGTATTATGCGAAATGCCAAGCAAGTTTTTTTTTAAAAAATAGTTGACCCTGTGAAAACATCGTTGAACGTGTAATAATATAAAAACATCGTTGCTTTCACGAAATGTCGATATTTTTCATTAAAACGCATAGACTCTAGAGCAATAACTAGTTTTTTTCACACTTAAAAAAATGTGTAAAAATATAGATGCCATTATATTGTATTTTTATTTTTGGCAAACATTTAATTGGTATTACACATTAAATTAATCCACAGCCAGCGTAACTAGCTGTGCTGTATTATTATAATTTAAGGGTAAATAATTCATGCATTAATATTGAAATTCTAAATGGGACTGCATTACTATTGTGCTTATTACTGTTCATACTATTTTAATTTTTTTTTAATAATATTTTTAGTATAATATATCTCATACTAACATATTTATATGAAGTATTTTCTTATTACCTATCCATAAAAGTATAAGTCAAACTAATGATACAAGTATATTTGGTATTCAGCTATAGTTTATGATATGGGTCATTTGGTAAATATTATAATTGCCTAAAAGGGGCATTTTTAGATTTTAACTACGAAATGAAAAAACAATATTTTTAATATTTTAAAAGTAGAAACAACAGCTTATATAATAGGTATATTACCAGGATCCTGGGATAGGTCAAACTTAAATTTTCACGAACTTGAACTTAGTTTTTTCTCGAAATCAAATATAAATCTTACTTAAACTTTTTTCAAACTTTTAAACTTTTTTTGAACTATTAACAATTTAATTAAAATAAAATACTTTTTTGTTTTCAATTAAAATTCAGTTTTAACATTCAAATTAATAAATATTGATGTGCTTAAACTATCTTTGCTTATTGGAAATAAATAAATATAAGTCTTGAGATATTACCTACATTAATAATGCTTACTTTCAATTTGAACGCTTCGAATATGATTTTGCTAAAACTATTCCAAATATTAGAATTCAAATTCAAAAATATTTTTTTCTTTATTTAAATCAGTTTGAATCTCTGAAATTCCAAAGTGTAAGTGAAGGTTCAGAAATCCACCCCTTCTCATATTTATTTAATACTTTGTTGTTTTTAAATACAAATTGCATGGTGCTTTCGGTAATTTAGTATAATGTAGTATTTACTTGAATTAATCATTATTAAAGTCAATAAGGTTTAAATTTGATATATTATCACGTTTTTAATTTTCAATTAGGTACTATACAATTATAATATGTAATAAATTAGTTTTGTTTTCGTTATTAAATTGCAGTAATAGTAACCCTATATTTTATAAATATAATTGAGTAAGTCAATATATAGGTGGTGTACGATACATATTTAGCTGGCGATCTACCCGGCTTGAAATATAAATTTAACTTAATGGGTTTTTAATACCAACGTGGTACAATAAAGCATAATAGTTTATAATGATATAATTATTATTTTGTTATTTTCCTGTTATAAGATCGGTCGCCGTCGTTAAATATTCGATGGGCTGGCTCCACTAACCCGACCGAACCCCGTTGTAGTGGGTGGTGTGGGAGGGGGGGGGGGGTGATTGGGGGTTGGAAATGGGTCAGGTGGGTGGAGCGGGTGACGACGGCGATCGCGGAAAACAAAAATCACCGTTTGATATCGTAACGATAAGGGTAATAAAAAAGAAACTGTTTTGGATGTTTTGTGTCCCCATATAGATCCGGACATATGGTTCCAGACGTCGGCGACGGACGTGACCGAACAATGCTGCTACGAACACTGTGCGGACGGCCTGTGCGTGCGAAACGCATCGCTGTGCAACGGTGACAGTGGCGACGCCGTTGTGCCTCAGAGACCGGTGTGCGTGGAAAACGTTCCGCTGGCGATCGAGGAGTCTCTGTGCACCGATTACAGTCTGACCGACACGTCGTCGGGCCACCGTCGGACGGACCTTCCACTTCAGCTGCTGTTGTGGGCGGCATCGGCGCTGGCGCTGGCAGCGGCGGCGGCCGTCACGTAGTTGTAGCTGACGAGGCGACGACTTCGACGACGATGACGACGACGATGACGAAGACGAAGAAGGCCGACGGCGGGGAAACGGAGATACGAAAACGAAAAAACCGCGATATCCGAAAAATTATAAATCTATTATTATTATTATTATTATTATTATTATTATAAATTATTGTTGTTATTATTGTTATGTCACTTATTGTGAACGGACGAGGTTTTCATCTCAAAAAAAAAAAAAACGAAACCGAAAAATAATAATAATAATATTATTATAGTATATATAAAAAAAAATAATAACGAAAATAACGACGGACCGCCCGTCCGATGAACGCGGACGCAACGGGCACGAGCAGTACCTATAAAGGCTCGTCATCGTTGCTTGTGGGCGGCCGGTGAACCGGAGGGAGCTTGACACCTCTCTGACAGGGTCCTCGTTCCTGATAAGACTATTATTAAAATACATATACAATACATTATATTGTTATAAAAATGCACACACACACTCACACACACACACACACACACACACACACACACACGAGGGGCGTAACTAGGAGACGTTGCACGGGAGTGGATTTTTCACCTATTCAACAAAATGTGATTCAAAGCTCAGCCCCCATCGAAATCATTGAAAAATATTACACAGGAATATACGATATCGAAAATTTTTAAAATATATTACGATAGCTTCATTTAACCCCATCTTTGCGAGGACGGTTGTTTAGTTACGGCAGTGTCATACACTCACACACGCACACACATCAGCGAGGCCCACTAGGCGGGTTGAGTGGTAGGTACGTATTTCAATATTTGTCACCCCCTCAAAAAAAATTCAAACCTCAGCATGCATTAAAATATTAACGGAAAAAATAATTATGAAGACTATCGAAAGTAGTAAAATATAATATTTTATGTACCTACGCTTTGGCCTAGTTTGATCGTCTGGTTACGCCCATTTCTACACACACACACACACACACACACACACACACCCCACGATCGTTGGCGCCGCAGGTTTTTTCAGACCGGGACCAATATAATATTATTATAATAAATAAACGAACGACGAACGCGCGCAATGATTATTAATTAACTGACGTTTATATTATTATAATAATTTTTAAAACACCGCCTATGGCGTAACGTATTAGTATATTGTTATTATAACACTTTCGACGCGGACATTATTTAACTAAATATTCTTTTGTTGTTGTAGTGCTAAGAACACTACAGTTACCGCTATTATTACTATATTAGATCGTAGTGAGTTATGTGACTCAATGTCCGAAGGTTGTATAGAGTGAGAAACGGATTCAAGCATTTGTTTTTCTTTTATTCGTTCTGTTTTCCTCGTTTTAGTTGGTTTTTCGTTTTTAAAAATTTAATTTCACTATCTTGTACGGAAACATAAAAATAGTGGATAAGGAAATAAATCTGAAACGTCACGTGCACGACGATCGATTATCTACAATAATTATTGTAATTATTGAGTTGATTCACTTATATCGCCGGAACCACGGATCGTTTTCATGTCCTTATGAAAGGTTTACCATTACCGACGTGGTTTTCATCTTTTCATTTTTAGTGCACGCCACCTGTCAAATGTGCTGTTTTAAGGCAATCGCACGACACGATTAATTGCGCTTGAATTACTCAAACGATTTCACACGACGATCTAATTATACTATACCAGAAATAATTAATGATTATTTGGGGGTTTTTTTTTGTACCCACCATATTAAACTTTAAAAATCTTACAAAATAAACTTAATTATTTATATTAAGTAACATTTTTCTTGTGTTCAATTCCAAAATTTTGCAAAGACGTATGTATTCATCTTCTACAAGTTATAAAAACGAATTAAATCTCCTCAGAGCGATAGACGCCTGTCACAAAGTTTTTTTAAATTATGTTAGTAAGCGATGTAGGTTGTATTGTTTACTTTTTAAATTACATAATAATTGAACGTATGTATAAAAGTAAATGTCATTTAATAGTATGTGTGTCCCGTGCCATATAGATTCGTACGGGTGATCTTTAGCATATTGTGATTATTAGCTTTTATCGTTTTAAGTTTTTTGTTGATTTAATATTTTCAATAAATTTGTTTTATTAATGTTTTAGAATTGCTGGAGATGAATTTAGTTAAATTTTGTTTAAGACAATAATATTACTATTGTTGTTTCTGTTTATGCGTAGAAAAAAAATTACGAATAGGACCTTTCAAAAAAAAAAGAATGTTCTTGGGCCTGCAAATTGGAAAGTGTTAAAAATATATTGTTCCTGTTAGAATTTAAATTTATAAAATATGCTAAATTTGTTGTGGAATTTACCATGTTCGAATATAATTATAAAATACAAATATTGTAATAATTTAAAATAAATATAGGGTTAATTTTTATAATTTGACTGGTTTAGGTAAACATGGTTGCAAAAATATATTATCTATAGATAATAAATGTATATATATATTTATTATTTATATAAATATATCTATATATTATTTATTTAAATAAATATATATATATATATATATATATATAATACGAGTTAGCTTTATTTGTAGGTAGTTCCGTCCAACAATATTATATTGTAGTTTATAAACAATATCTCGTACTTACGGCCTACAGAACGTTAAATTTAATTGAGCAATTTATTTTCAAATCTTATTTCATGCCCTTCAATTGTAATTTTTTGTTTTTGTTTTTTTTTGTGCCAATTTTAATCTTACTTAAGTCAATATTATTAGAAAAGTGCTCAATATATATTGTAAAAATTTATAGACTTAGAAATGAAAAGAAATGTCAAATCTTATTAAGTATATTATTGTAGGTTTAATATTTTTAAATAAATTATTTAAGATTATTTTTTAACTATATAATAAATTACGGATTTCTCAAAGAAATTATAAATTATGGTATAAATCTATCAGCCGGCTTGTCGGAAAGAACCCATCATTTTTTTAATTTCAATATCAGTTTTATTGTGTTTGCTTGATGAAAGAAAATTATTTGTCTTACAGTTATGTGATATTTTTCGAAAATACTTTTTGAAACTGTTAGTATAATAATGAAACAAAAAATACAGATCAATTCGGGTACAATATGTGTTACTCGCTTTTGTTAATAAAAATATTTAACTTCTTTCCGATACTCGGTAATAATACATTAAGAAGTGTTCGTGTGTGGTGTGAAATTATAATGTAAGAGTGAATTGTTGGTACATACTAACATTTTTTTATGTATAAAGAAAATATCGAAAATACTTTAAGCGAATCTACAATACTGATTAAAAAAATGATGTGGGGAAAATATGTGGCTTAAATATTATACTAATTTTTAATATACATCAAACTCACTAAAGTGGTACAAAATTTTTCATTTTGAGAAGACCGTCCTTATTACTTACAATTATGTACATAGCCATAAAACTAAATATAATATTAATTAATTTTCTACTCTATAAACTATTTCTGTTCATATAATGAAAAAAAAATTCAAAATTATTTTATAGCTTTGTTAGGTACGTATAATAATAATAATTACTAATGAGTTTATATACAATTAACTGAGTGCTCTGTAGATGAAAGTTTTAAGGTATTTTTACACCACTTGAGTAGAGACCAAGGGGCAAGGGCTAACCACTCCATAGCGGTCGTTTGATTAATATAATAATAATGAAAAACATAGATAACGATAATAATATTATATGATTGATTAGACTATTACAAAATTAAGGTTATATTTACCTCTATTAATAATGTCATTATACTGAATATATTATAATTATAAATATAAACAAACATGTAGTCAATTGTAAAAATAATTATATATGATTATATTAAGTATTATAAATAATAAAATATAAAAACTGTTGGTTAATTATTAGTTTTGTAAAACATTTGTTACGTTCAGACGTATATTATAAGAATTTTAAAATAATAATATTAATGCAAAATAATATTACGAGAACAGAAAAAAACATTATGTTATGGAATAAAACGTTTGTTTTATAGGAAATATATATAATTTAAAATACATGATATTGTATATTTGTTTGTGTTTTGTCATATATGTAATGTGTATGTACCTATACGAGACAAATTGTATTGTATTTTGTCATCGTCAAGTAATATTATATGTAATATATTATTATGATAATATTGACAGCAACGCAATTCGACGGTAATAACGATTTCACATTCAAAATGTAGAGGCGCATAATACAACAGTGACTTTTACAATATTCTATACAAAAATAATATTTTACGACATTATAGAATATTAATAAAAATATATAAAGTTTATGATGTTTGTATACTTGAATTAGTGGGGTGGTGGACACCATCCTACCACCTAATTTAGTAATAATTTTCCATCACCTACCTACATGTTTCGTTTTAAATTATCTATTCTATCCCTTAGATTTAGAAAAATGAATTGGTTTCACGATGTGTAGTTATTATATTACAAACAACGTTGACCAAGTTCACCTATAACAATATATCGAAAATCAAAAATCAAATACCTATAAACATATATTTTGTTATTTTAAAATTTAAACATTTACACTGATATCCAGTAGATGAAAGAAGAAAAATTAGTCGCAAAATATTCAATCAAATGATAATAAAGGTTTCAAACCCAAAATGTAAATGGATCTAATTGTGATGTTTAGTAATAGTATTTTATCTCTTAGTATAACCCGTACATAGTATAATTAATATTTTATGACATTAAAGTTAATGTTGATAAAAATATATCAAGATTCTAATGTTTGTATACTACAATTAGTGGGGTGGCGGATCCCATCTAACCAAACACAATTTACTATTTAGTACCTAATCATTTTTCATCTCCTACCCATTTTGATTAAAATTATCCATCACTTAGATTTGGAAAAAAACAATTGCCTCCATGATGTGCAGTCCTTAGCTCTTATATATAAACGATGTTTGCCAACTTATCTCATAAAAATTTACAACAAATCGAGTATCAAACATAATAATTTACTAAAAATATTTTGTTATTGCCAATGGATCAAATTACTTAGTCAGTAAAGAGATATAATTTAACAATACCTACCAATATAATGTGGTCACTAATAACTGATGTGTCTCATGTCCGGTGGATAACAATATAAATAGTACTGATTAATGCTTTTTTCAGAGTTTATGAAAACGCAAAATGAAAGAGTTGATTAAGCCCCGCTTACTCGTAGGTTGATCCACTTGATACTTGAACCACTGATTATACTAGCGATGCTTCAAGAAAGACATATCGTATGTTATGTACAAATCCATGTTTGCTAAACCTTTTCTACCAGGTGATCCATTTAAGTGAAGTGTACACTCACTAATTCAAAAATTGATTAACTTCTTTGAAAATATTCTTTTTACATAATATAGGTAATCTGGTGTGATTATATAACAACATTTATGATGAAACATTTTTTTATCTTCATAATTGTTTACATGACAATGTATATTTTATTTCATGTTCCGAAGTTGACAATTCAGCTCTTCTAAGCTTAAACACTTATGGCTAATGAACTACTTGTTCGAAAATTGATATTTATATATTGAGATACTCCAAATAATATTTCGCATCGGAATATGGAATTTAAAAAGTGAGATGTCGTTAAAAAAGTAAAAAAAAATATTTTTGCCATAAGTATATGTTGTTTTGAAATTACATCAAATGATATGAAAAAATGTGAAAAATATTGTAACTTCGAAATAATAAGTGTAGATACTAGATCACTTTGTATAACAATTACACACAAAAATATTGATTTCTTGTATTTTAATATATTTTGATTTAAGCTGTAAGGTTCGATTTCAAAATATTCATCAAGAAAAGAAAAGAATCGAAATATAATTATTTAGATATACTGAATTTAATCTTTTTCATTCAATCTTTCTAATTTTCAAAACGTGGTAAACTTTGTATGGTACAATTTTGTTATTTATAAATTACACAATAATTGTCGTGGTAAACAGGAACTTATATTTCAGCATCAAGAATAAAACAATAAATACACACAATAAACATAAAATATTTAAATGAACAATTGCAATTCAATTATTATTTAACAGTCTGAATTATTTATACATCGATTAATGATTGGATGATATCGTTATAGAAATTTACAGCCATAATGAAACTGATGTATTCGGATCCAAGACCATATAGTTCAGATCTAATAACATTTTGAAAGTAAATACGAAAATACTATTTTATACAAGATCCCACATCTGGGGTATTTGGTTGAATTGGGAACAGACTAGAGAAGTTTTATAAAATATTGTGGTATTTCAGAAAACGATCTTCAAGATGAGCAATAAAGAATGTAAGGTATGTGTATGGTACGTAAATATTTATTATATAATTACATTCTACAGTGTTTGTTACAATGTTTGAACCGGACTTAGGTCAGCAAGGGTAGAGCGATGGAGTGAATAATCTTCTGCTTTTTTGGTGAACAAAGTTTAACAATTTAATCGATCAAGAAAATACCTGAAACACAACAAGGGCATAGGTGTCATAATATAAACAGTAAACATATCTCGTTTTAACAAAACGTTGTTAAATTAAAAAAAATCTTGACTTGAAATAATGAAAGTTCACCAATCATTTTTCAAATTTGAGGCGTCCCTGAGTGATATACTAAAATCTTTGTTTTTTCCTACATATCACTTAAAATAAATAACCAATAATTCAATTACTAATTTATTGAGATTGTAATAAATTAACTCGCCGTAGCATAAAAAAAACGATGATAATAATTGAATCTATGTAGTTATGTGTGGACACAGTCACAGACGTGATTGAAATTTGGTTTGCCATTATCAGGTTTGACATATTAATTATAATTCTTAGATATTTACAGCACGAATTCAAACATCAGCGTACATTGTTAAGTTTATCAAACATGACAGTATTATTCATTTATTTAATTAATCTGTAGTTGCAGATCGTTGTATAGATAT